GGGGCAAAGGAGACAAACGTCAATAAACCACGCGCGAGCACCTCGAACAGCAATGCGAGCACCGTGTCGGTCGAACTCCCCTTCCCAAAATCGCATGGCCCTTCCTCACAGGCCAAACCGGACTCCGTCGATACCACCACCGATGTTGTTACACCGAAAAAACGCGGCCGACCGCCACTTTCGCAGGCCGTAATCGAGGAGAGGAAGGCGGAGAAGGAGCGCATAAAGGCGGAAAGGGCGATCAAGAAACTCGAGGCTCGAACCGCCAAAGCGAACGCCAAACGAGCCAAGGGGAGGGAGCAGGCGAGCCCCGAGTCGGCCGCTGAAGAGCCCGAGGATGCAGACAAAACAGTGGACTCGGTTGTGTCTGACGAGTTTGCTGAGCCTGCGAGCCCCGTATTGGATCATCCAGAGTGGGAGGTCCTCAAACCTCCGCCGTCGTCCACTAAAACGGATAGCTCACAAACTGACGAGATCGAGTCCACGCTGGGCCAGCACACTGGTAACACAAGATCTATTCAGGCACGTCCCACATAAATACCATGCGACTTGTCGTTGACGCTTCTCTACAGAAACCTACGTCTGTTGCTCGATCCATGCTGCCGAAACATATTGCGACCGAGGAGCCAGACACCGAGGGCCGTTCTACGGCAAAGCGCCTCACTAGACCACTGTTTATGCCGTCCTCCGGGTTGGTGAAGACCAATTCTTCGCACCCAGGCCCGCTGCCTTCCTCTCCACTCGTACCCATTACCACCTCCCTGTCTCAGCCAACCCCCTCCGCCCGACGACGTTCGATGGCTTCCGCAGATTTGCCACGGTTTACCAACTTCAAGAAAGAGCAAGAGCTACTACGACAAAAGCGGCGAGCTTCACATATGCCAACCAGCCAGCCGCTCACTGCCGAAAAGCAAGCCTCGAGGCCAAACGGCAGCCAGGAATTTCTAGAGATTGATGAATCCTCCAGCGACGAGAACTCGTCGGCAGATGAGGGGGCAAACAAGACGGTTACTCCGTCTAACAAAAAACGACGCTCCGTGTTGGGTTACTTTTCACAGGCTTGATTATCTCTTGTTTACTTATTACCACGTGATGCGATGTCCTTAGTACATATATGAAATTATTTTTACCCGAAATATTTTACCACAACCACTCCACTCATCATGTCACCTGTCGCAGTCGCAATCTGGTCTCAAGACCTCGAGCCTAATAAGCGCAATGTCTACACAGTCGAGAATGACATTCGTATCTCGGGTGCTTCTCTGGCCGCGCAGCTCAAAGACAACACTGGCCGCACTGTGGTCGAAGTTGTGATCAAGATTCCGGACGACTATGAGATCGGGGATATCCCAACGGACGAGAAGACTGGCGAGAAAGTTCCTATGCACAGATTTGTGCTGTGCGCGTTGACTCCTGGAAAGGTGGGTGGATAGAGGGATCGCTTGATCGACATGCGCTGACTTGTTTGTAGGCCGAGCAGCTCCCGCTCGACCTCATCCTTCCAGAGGGTGAGGAGATTGAGTTTGTGGTTACCGGTAAAAAGTGTGTTGATCGTATGTTCCTGGAAATTTTCGTTGATCACATTTTATTTAGCCCCGTTCATCTCTACGGCAACTATATCGTGCAAGGCGGTAACAGCGACGAGGACGAAGATGAAGACGAAGATGAATATGACCTCGAGGACGCGCCCTCTGACGTCGAGGTCGACTTGGATGAGTTGGACGATGTGGAAGAAGACTCTGCGTGCGTATCATGTCAATGATGTTCAACAACCTCTAATCCGCCCCTAGTCGGTTCGAGGAGATCGAGGCTTCTCCTCCCAAGAGCGTCAAGCGTGCCCGTGAAGACGAGGAGATGGGCGATGTTTCTGTCGCTTCTGGTGCGTACACCTGCTAGTTAATCCAGTTGCGGTTTCGTGACAAGTAATACAGGGGTCGACACTTCGGTGATGTCGAAGAAGGAGAAGAAGCGCGCCAAGAAGCTCAAGAACGAGGCTGGAAAGGCTGCCCCTGCCCCTACTACTACCACCACAACCACCGTCGCTGCTACCACGACGACCGTCGCACCTGCCAATGGCAAGGACTCCAAGCCCATAGAGAAGGAGAAGAAGGAAGGCAAGAAGGACGGAGAAAAGAAGAAAAAGGTGAAGAAATGAATGTATTCACCCATCGCAAGGTCTTGTCCTCCGTTGAGTGTAGGATCTGGCCTCGGTGCGTGTTCCAAAAAGATTGTACAGGCGTTAATTTGCGTTTCTCTGCACAATCGCATCGCGTTTACGCTTTTCGGTTGTTACATTATCATTAGCATGAACCCAGGACTCTTGCAGGTGGTGTGACCATTGAAGACAAGAAGGTTGGGACGGGTGAGTATCAACTATGCTGCTAGGTATGTGCCCTAATCGCGAATAATCTATGGTAGGTCCGGTAGCCAAGGCTGGAAAGAAAATCGGGATGCGTTACATTGGACGCTTGAAGAATGGAAAAGTTTTTGATTCCAACACCAAAGGTACACTATTTCTACCTCTCACGTGAACCCGACCAGAACCTCCCACCCCAGGAAAACCGTTCTTTTTCACGCTCGGCGAAGGAAACGTAATCAAGGGGTGGGACGAAGGCATTCCAGGTATGAGCATTGGGGGCGAGCGAATCCTCACCATCCCTGCGGCCAAAGGCTACGGCAAGCGGGGTGCTCCACCTGATATCCCACCCAATGCCGACCTTATTTTCGGTGAGTTTGAACCGCTATTGGGTTAGAGATGACACTAAGTCGAGGTCGTCGCAGAGGTCAAGCTTGTTGAGATTAAGTAGTCGGGACAGTATGAGATGCCGTGATTCTTGATGAATGTACCGTATGGACGAAATGGGCACCGAAACTTGATCACACGACAATGAAAGTAGGGCCATTCACGCGAGCATTTACTCTGGGCCAATTTTGGCCAAGACAACTGGGTTGTAATCGGCGAGCAAGAGTTATGAAAAGACTATAGACTGTGTTGGGCTACTTTGTTCCTAGCCACCCAGAGCAGGCGCTGGACGCCAACTAGGCCGCCCTCGCTTTTCGTTCGAAATCGGCACGACGACCCTTCTCTTTTTCATGAACCTACAGATGCCCGACTAACTTTGATCCGTCCTTTTTAGCTCGTTAACTGCATATGATAATTTCAAGTTACCGACTTGGCCTGTCACTTCCCTCGCGGCCCACTCGCACTCACCGTTAACTTGCCTTAGCAATACAAATTCTCGGGTCAACACTGCAATATCTATGAAGCTTTGCCGGTTTTACTGCCCCAGTTGATGCGCGAAACGAAGCCTTGTATCGACGTCGCCATAACTGATGGCCACCCTGCTCTCCGGCTTGATCAAGGTCATCCTCCGCGTTATTTCGCACTGAACCAAGTTCATGAGCGGTAAGCCAACACCAGTGAGCACTGTGTCAAAAACAGAATTTGCTTGGCTAGCGGATTTCGCTGATGCTGAACTTGGTTGCTGGGCTCAGGATGGCACCACTCGTTTATCTAAAATCTTTGTGTCCGTGTCGACTACACCGGAGCGCCCAGCCTTTAGCGACACAAATCTCAACTGCTGTACATAACGCGAGTTCAATGCCCATGATAGCCGCGTGCCTCGTAGCCCAGTAAGGTATTTTACAGGTTTGTTACCACATCACGCGGTCATAGCCGCGCAACTCGGCGGACGCCCCCGCGCCAAATTACCGATTTCGATGATGATATCCTTCCTTCTCTGCAGGCTCGCCTTGGCGGGGTGCATAGATGCAAAGCATTGCACATGGAGAGCGCTGTGAACATCTGGCGGGTGATTGGGGCGCGTATTGCTTTGGTGGGTCTATGCGCGTATAAAATGCGCGAGAGACCAGGCAAGCTGTGGACATCAGCTCTCCTCGACTTCAGCGCTATCTGGCACTTTCACTTAATCTCTTCGACCTCACTCCAAAAAGCGCAGTCGCGACCGCAGTGATCTCGTTGAACATTTTGGAAAAGGAGGATGTTGATGAGCGTGGCCGCTCTGCCCACCAATGCCTCTGAGATCGCCGCGCGCTCTATCGGCCCCTCCGGAACTCATACCGACCAGGTAGGTAGACTTTCCGTGCGGTCACAAGTGACGTACTGACCATCTTCTTACAAAGCTCACCTACTGTACGTACTGTCGTCTTGCCACCTAGGTCGTTCGTCTGACTTATGTCCAGTGTCTGAAGTCGAGATCGGTTTGGGAGCGTGCGGCTGGTACAACGTAAGTAATTGCTATTTGTCTCTGTACACATGTTCCCATATTTTAACGCTTGGATGCGGCACAGCGCGACGACGAGTGGGCTGCCGCTATTTCCCGCGAGCCGTACGACAACTACCCCGGCTATTCTGGCGGCAACCCCAACAACAACCCCGCGTAAGCTTAGTTTATTTCTCCTCTGCATATATCTTATGTTTTGTGCTTGGTTGTGGCTGAAATAGTGACATCACTTATGAGTGCCTCTACGCCTGCTCGCTGCCACTGGAAAGACTGGTTACCGTACAGATGGCGGCAAAACCATCCGTGTCGGGATTGTTGACCGTTGCCAGAGTTGCGTGCTCTGGGACGTCGATCTCTCACCCTCTGCCTTCCAGCAGGTATGGTGCTCTTTCCTAGCTCCTAACCTGGCTCGAGCTGACCCGCGCTGTGCTTTGCGCAGCTTGCCCCTCTGGCGACTGACCGTCTCTGCGGTGCTACTTGGTACTTTAGCTAGGCTTGCTGTGCGAGATGGTGTTGCGGGTCAACTGGCTTGCTTGTAGATTGTATGCGCACACATTTATGCAAATCTATTTCGCTAGCTCCTATTTCAACACTTCAGCAATGTGTTAAATAGATGCGGGGCCCTGTCTCTCGCGCAGGTTTAATAAGAACAACAGCGTGCTGCAGCAAACGACTAAATAATTGCAAGTTGATGGCGAGCAGAATGGCACACCCGCTAGTGAGCGCTTAAAATCTCACCCATCCGACTATTAACGGGCGTAGGTAGTATAATGGTTATTATCTCGGTTTCCCATCGTATGGCCCAGTTTGCTGGGAGATTACCGAGGACCCGAGTTCGATTCTCGGCCTACGCAACGTTTTTTTGACCAACACCGTCTGTCTCGTTAGTACCTGTCTGCACACATTTCATGGTCGGCTTACGTGGGGTCTATCCCCAGTCTACTACACACATGCTTTTCAGTATATTTTATGTCTAGCACTTGATCTGTCAAAGAATTGGCACATTTGGCTGGACAAAACGGATGCATTGGCATTTGTTACAAGCCACCAGATATACCAATGACACATTCATGCGTTTCTTGCAGCTTGACAGATCACAATGATTCGAGCATCAGGAAAATTCCAGTCCTGCTACTGGGCACGACATAGAGCTACGTAGCGCAATGTTGTGTTCTGTCACACTATAGAGAGCCTCCTGCTCCGTCTCATAGTCGCCTTCGTCGGTGGCAAGGAGGTCCCCCAGTTTCTGGTCGAGGCCCGTAATCGGGTCCTCGTTCAAGCCATATGTACCCGGGTCATCCAGCATCCTAGCGCTATTGATCGCCCGCATAGTTTCAGAGACACCAAAGCCTGGCTCTTGTACGATCAACGTGCGCGTAAGGTCTTGAGGCTCCGTCGGAGTAGGACAGTCGTATTCAAACGGGGCGTGACACTCTGTCAGGCTTTCGTAGCTCTCGCATCCGTCGGATGTCGCAAGTACTTCGTCGTTGGGCTTGGGAGGGCCGAACGCTCTGTGGCACAGCCACATTACTTCTTCTAACGTTAAATGGTCAGGGCCGGATTTTTGATTTTGCAATCGGTGAACTCATACCTCCAGAGCACCACAAGGATGGCGACTACGGCAGACCCAAGTCACTATGTTATTGAATGTACGTTCTAGAACTGATTTCTTCAATTAAACCTGACATTTCTTCGCAGATGCAAGGCCAGGCTCGAGTGAAAAATGTAATGGCAGGCCGCCTTGCAATGGGTCTACTATCGTACTTGGCGATCTTTGCTTTGGCACCAAAAAATACGACGGCAGGATAAATGATAAGATGCAATATAGGCAAGCCTGTCTGGCCGCTCAGGTGAAATATGAGGCTAATTTCGACTCCAGACATTGGGGGTGTGTCACGCCAGACATCTTGTATGATCTCGCGTTTGTAGGTGTCAATCGCATTCCGGGCATCAACAGACTCAAGTATGGCCTTTGAACACCTTGGGTTACTGGGTTCTGACGACTATTTTTCCGAATCTAGTCCCGCCGACCGACTGAAAATTCATACTGCGGTTGAGCGACTTGCCATCGATCCTGCTGACATCCCCGTCACTGCCAAACGTCCCATCGCACCCAAGCCGTCTCTGCCTTTAGTTTCCCAAGCCAATAGGTTGATTGCCCGGCCGTCGGCGGCGCCGTTTGGGACGCAAAGGCCAAGCTCTCCGGCGCCTGTGGCAACCACATCCAAGAAGCGCAAGGCACCAGTCGCAAAGACAGCATCTTTACCTGCTCCTACTTATGTGGCATCCTCGTCGCAATACTCACAACCAACGTCCTACTCGGCCTCGCAGCCCGCCCCAGCATCCTATTCGCAAGCGCCACAACATAGTCAATTGCACGCCACACAAGCCGCCTATCCTCATGGGGGTCAAATCACGATGACTCAACAACAGCGCGATGATGCGGCCTATTTGGACGATGATAATTATGATGAAGAGGAAGCTCAATACACTGATTTCTATCTATCATTTCAGTCGACGGTTGTCGGAATCCAATACTACGATGGGCTTGGTAAGTAGCAATACAATCACTTGTTACTTGCTAATAACCAGTTCTTTAGTTGGACCAGGAGAACAGGTCAACCTTGTTCGTGAACCTATGAATAAATACGACGAGTGAGTTTATGCGTTCCTAATCAATTCGCTGCGGATCGTCTCATTCAATAATCGTAGAAACGCTATCCAAGTCATGAACGTCCGTATGCGGCAAGTTGGCCATATACCAAGGCAAAGTACGTTGGATTATCCTGGGTATTAAAACATTATTTAACGCGCGCTGTTTTAGCTGCCGCCAACCTCGCCCCTCTCATCGACCGCGACCTTATCGTGGTCGAAGGAATGATGAACGACGGAAATCGTAAGCTTCTTCATCTTACATTTTTATTCTCTTGTCAACCGCGTTGGGATAGTGCAAGGTCGCCAGTACACACTTAGCGTGTAAGTCCCAAGCTCTTGTGTTGTTGCTGCTTGGCTAATTGTTTATATTTAGGACGTTGAGCATCTATGGTAAACCGGGTGTTCGTTCTATGCTCGAACCGCTTCTACGATGGGCTACTCCTGGTAGACGTGGATTTACTGACGCCATGCGTCTCCAAAGTGGCGTCGCACTTAGCCAGACTGCAAGCTACAGCGTCGGCTCATCCGCTGGCCCATCATACGTGTCCGGTTCTGCCAACAATCCCGTGTACATCCAGGACCTAACATCGTCTCAGCCGTCCAGCCAGTCCTCACAGTCACAGCTTGCTAACCAAAGGGTACACGAAGCAATCGAGGCCCAGCGCCGTGCTGAGGAGCTACGCGTCATGCTTGCGGGCCTTCAAAAGGTCGATGATGAGGGTCGGCGTGCCAACTTCCTAGACGCGCTTTATGAACAAGAAAAGCAAGACATTTTAAATCTGCCGGAACATCCTTCGCCTCCTGGAAAAGATGACGGGACCTTGACTGTGGATTTGTTAAAGCACCAGGTGAGTTACATCCATTTACAATAAAAAGAGTATTCTCATCGTGATCTGCTTGTAGAAACAAGGTTTGTTGTGGTGTATCGACCGCGAGTCGGTGGTTCTTCCCCAGAAGGAGGGCGAGCCGCACCAACAATTTTGGGAGTATCGTGCTCATCCCGGCAAGAAGGTGTGTCTGCATGGTTGAAATGATTGAAACGGCGGCTTAGCTCTTTTCGGGTACCAGGGCTATTACATGAACAGTGAGACACACGCTCCAGAACGCTTATGAAGTTCTGATTTTTCTTGTTTTTCAGTTATCACTAAGACACCTGTCCCGCTGGATATGCCACCTGCTATTGGCCATGGTGGAATAATGAGTGACTCGATGGGTTTAGGCAAATCGTTGACTTTTTTGGCGCTCATCATCACCACCAAGAAAATACAGCCAGCGGGTTATGATAACCCCACTCTTGTTGGTTAGTTGTTTTGTGGGTGTGACGATTTGTTTCTGATGTGATCATTCAGTCTGCCCCCTCTCCGTTTTGAGCAATTGGGAGTCTCAAATAGCTCATCACTGTGTCAGCGGAACGCTTTCTACCTATACCTATTATGGGGACCACCGAAACGTCGACGCACAAGTCCTGAAAGCATATGATGTAGTATTGACCACATACCAGACCATTTCCGCTGATTTCGAGGCGATGGGAGGGTTTAAGACAGCTGAAGAGCTGGCAAATGGCACTACGACCCGCAAGAAGCGCAAGATCGAAAAGTCCGACAAAGGATTATTTGATATCAGGTGGAAAGTGTGTACGAGTCGTGGCAGCGTATTATGTGGAGTGTCTTACGATAGGACTTGTTTAGCGTGTTGTATTGGATGAAGCCCATCAGATCCGGAACCCCAAGACCAAGATCGCTCAGTCTGTGTCGGCACTGGAAGGTTACTACCGATGGGTGAGTGGTTATCTTATTGTCCGAGTTCTGCTTGACGTGTAAGAGGTGGCATGCAGGCAGTTAGCGGTACTCCGATCGTGAGTATCCCTTAGTTGGCCAAATGTCTACTGGTTACTGATTGTCGTCTAGGTCAATTCTCCTTCAGTAAGCGATCCTAAGGGTTACTTTACACATTCGTGCTAATGTAGTTCACCAGGACCTCGGCTCTCTACTTACTTTCCTTCGGATGTGTACGCCACTGGACCAAATTGCTATGTTCAACCGGTTGCTCTCACGTCCTCTTTCCAAAGGAGACGCAGCAGCCACGACTCTTTTGAAGGTATTTAATTTAGAGGTTGTCAGTCCATGCAGCGACTTACGGAATCTTTAGCAACTCATGAAACATATATCAATCCGACGTTCAAAAGAGGTCTGTATTTTTGTATATTGTGTTCCCATTTCTGGGCTTGGTCTGAAACCCGTATGGTAAACAGATGCAGGACGAGCAAGGCAATCGCTTGGTTGAACTGCCCAAGGTGTGTAGGCGTGGGAAATTAACTATGGGAGAAACTTGACTTCCTGCAGGTTACGGTCCACGTTACCAATGTTGAGTTGGATGAAGGTACACGTCGAATTTACGACACAGTCGAAAGGCTGTCCAGGCAGCGGTTTGTCGACATGGCTAACGCAGCTGAAAATGGCGAAAGTGTACCAAACGTAGTTCTCAGTCTACTCACTCGCATGCGGTAAGCAGTTGACCACCTCCCCCCCCCCCCCAATATTATACACTAGCTGACTGTTGGGCTCACTCAAATGCAGCCAAATCGCATTGCACCCCGGGCTTGTCCCTGCTGATTATTTGGACAAGCTGAAATCCGACGAGGCGACAGATCACACACCTGGTGTCGTAGCTATCACACCGCAAGAAAAAGCCAGGCTACAAAATATTCTCTTCCACGCTGAAGAAGATAGCGAAGAGGTGGGTTGATCTTAGCATCCCCGTGATGGTGTTTACTGATTATTTGAGTGCAGTGCGCAATCTGTTTTGATTCATTGAAGAATCCGAGGATTCTACCTGATGGGCACTGTAAGTGTGCCATTAACCACCCCAAACACCTCAACTCATGTTTCAAATATCAGACTTCTGTTTCGAGTGTATATCTGGCTATATTCAAGCACATGGGGCTGAAGCTACCTGCCCGATGGATCGACGACCCATTTCCATGGCGGATCTGATCGAGCCGGCTCCGCCTACCGATCTAACCCAGGCGCCGCGCCCTAGGAATGGGTTCAATGACATTGGCTTAGCGTCTTCACCACGATCGTCACCCAAAATTGACCGCCTAATCCAAATACTGAAACTTATACCAAGCGACGAGAAAGCCGTGGTTTTTTCACAGTAAGCATTTGTGCCTGGTTGCTCGCCCAACTCGATGATTAAG